CTTCTAAAGGAAATAGTGAAATTATTAAACATGATGCGTAATCTCTTGCTTAGAACTACATTGTTGCCAGAGAAAAGAAATTGTGCAAATGTGATGCCAATTTTTAAAAAGGGGTCCAGGGGAACTAAACCCTTGGTATTACAAGCCAGTCTGTAAACCTGGCACCCATGGAAGGAAAACTGGTGAGTGTGGTAATAACAGATTAAAAAAATCTCTGGACATATGGTCTGCACAAATTTTGTAGAGTAAAGCCACACCTTGCAGATTTAGATCTGAGTTTGTGAACAAGATGATCCAGTTTGTTTTAAACTGTAACTACAAAGTTGCTGGGATTTGCACCAGATAACATTACCTCACTCATTCTGATTTTGGTTGAAATTGGGACCCTCTGGAGTGAACCCTGGCTCAGTATGTATCCCTTAGTCCTTCGTGTCTATGCTCTACCCTCTGCCTCCCTCCACTGTGCTCTCCACTCATTTGCTGTCTGCACAGTACAGGACTAAGCCAAGAGGCTCCACAAAGCAGTCTGCATCCACAGCAGTTTTGTCCATTTTACATTTCTGCTGCCTACCTGAACCCTCCAGCCATGGCTCCTGGCCTCATGGGCTTTAGCCTTCCTGCATGTGCTTAGGAAGCAAGCCTTGACACTGTAGTGGACCCATCTCTTGGGATGGGGCTAGGTGAGGAGCTCCTACTGTCCAGGGGGAGCTGATCCTTCACACCCCCCTACATGCAGTTGAGACAGACGTGAGAGAGTTTGTTGTACTGACCTGCAGACCTGGCCAGCCTCTCACCCCTTGAGAGCAAGGGGGTTAGTGAGACCATGCAGTGGTATGTACCACTAATGACCAGCTGTGTCCAGGACTTCCAGAGGTGAAGAACATCATGCCAAGTCCTCTACAAATGCCCACTGCTCTCTGACAGTTCAGCCCCTTCAGTGTGGCATGGACATGGCAGGCTTTTTTATGTGCCCAGCCTGGCTCTGCCTCTGCCACTGCCACCACCACTGGGCTTGCGTTGGGAAGACATGAATGGCAAGGGATGAAGCCATCTACTCACATATAATTCAGGACAATAAGTCTGACAAATGTCATCTGAATTTGCACATCCAGAAACAGTGAGCTGCAATGCAAACATGGCTCTGGGCTACCTTTGTGAAAGTGGAATGGAAAGGTCTGATTTCCTTCTCTCCTCCGGGGGTAAAAAAAAAAAAGGTCAAAACAGCACTCTCTCCTTAGGCTGGTAATCAGAAGCAATTACTTGGAAGCCAAATTTATGGCATCCATGAGCATTGTGTGGACACAGACCCAGTGAGCCACGAGTAAGTGGTAATTCGGTGGTGGCCATGCTGCTAAAGATCTTAATAACTCAGTAGAATACCTGCTGAGATTTTCAATGACTTGCATTCATGCTTCAGGCTTCGTGTTTTGTTTCGTTGCCTTAAAACATTATTCACTCATGCTATGGGCACAACCCATATCATTGGGCTGCTGTATCACTTCTTGGTTTGTTTCTTCATTGCTTCTCTAGAAGGAGCTTCCCAAGGCCTGGGATGATTCAACACATGGCAATCAATGTTCACAGTCCTGGAAAACTTACCTGGGCTGAGGGAGTGAAGATGGCATGGATCTGCATGCCAGAAAAAACAGGGAGAATCACAGAAGCAGGAGTTCAGGAGTAATTTAACATCATGGACAAGTGGGAGACCATTGGTCTGGAGTGAAACAGGGAACAGCATGATTAAAAGATTGGAAATAAAAAGTATTAGTATAGTATCCCATTACTATGCAGGAAAGAGACTACTGAACTTACAGTAGGTTTTTGCATGAAAACATCAGTTCAATTCTCAGTAGTCATAAAAGAGGCAAATAGGATTACAGGAATTATTAGGAAAGGAGCAGAGGAAAAAACAACACAAAACTCAATATGCCATTATTTAGATCCTTGATTTATCTTTATGTGTTAGCATCTGTGAAAGACTGTAGAACAACTAGAGAAGATGCCACGAGGCCACAATGCTCATGGAAGGTATGAAAACACTTGCTTATAAGGAATGAATAAGCAACCTAATGTTCTTCAGGTATGACAAATTCATGGCAGGTACAGAGAAGTTGACTTCAGAATGATAATTCACACTATGTCACAATTCAGGATACAGCACAATAGCCTCAGTGCAATTTCTTTGATTGTAATGATCCCCTGATCATGATCTTTGATTGTTGTCCCTCTTGATCCCTAATTGCGTCTCACCCAGACTTGTCTTCACTCTGTTTCTTTTCTTCTTCTTAACCAGGTCCTGGAGACTTCATGGAAGACTCTACACAATCCAGTTAGCAAGTCTGGAAGCCCCGTGGATGATGACAGATGCAGAGTCTCAGTCTGTATCTTACAACATAAATACAAAACAATCTCTCCCTTTATAACTAAAGTATAGTTATATATATATATATACATATAGATAGATAAGCTATGTATGTAGTTTAGTATAACTGTAGTATAGTATAGCATAGCATAGCATAGCATAGCATAGCATAGCATAGCATAGCATATTTGCTTCTTCATGGGACAGGAATCACCAAGCTATAACTCATCAGAACACCAGCAATTAACCCCTCACCTCAAAGGTTTAGTGATACAATCAGTATAAAAACTGTAGATGAAAAATGAACTGAGAAAGAATACAACCCCAAATAACAACACACACATCTGTGGCAAAAGGTAATAGAGGAAATGCTGCTAATATCAGCCATTCAACACAACTGAAGCTGATTTCTCTAATGCAGACCTAATAGAAGGTGTCAGGAATCCAGAAAGATCTCTTCCACATTAAGAATAAGCTCAGAACAGCAATTTTGACGTCTTGCTTACAGAAAGACTTGAACTCCATTACAGGCTATTTAATTCAGTAAAGGAATTACTAAACACAATTACCCAGCCTGTGTTTTGCAGCAGGTCAGACCATTATAGTGATTAGAAATAATTATAATAGCTTCTTTTGATACAGAAAGATCTCTTAAAGCTCAAATCGTTCAGATTGAATGCTACTTTATGACAGAAGAAAATGTTCTAAAATGTAAAGACTTCATTGAAGTGAGTTGCATATGGATGCAGAAAGCAGGATCAGTACTTCAAGTGTAAAAGACATCTTAGAAATGAAGACATAAGCTACAAAATTTGGTCTAACTTGTTTTGTTGCTGATTTTTCTTCTATAGAAAGTAATTTTGAAAGAAAAGAGAAGTTGTTAACCAGAAGTTTCCGTGTCTTAGACTAGTCTGCATCTTTTTGTTGTCTACAAAGAAGAGCAAAAAAGCAACCTAAGAAGTTCAGCAATCCTTTCCAAGAAAGCATCTGTCACTTCTCTTGTGCATTATTGCTGCTAAATCAGCACCTTTTCTTGCATGCCATTTCAGCTGTTTGAGATATTATAATAATTTGAAATTGTCAGAGAAAATATTCAGGAAATACTGGAATAACTAAAAATAAATTCAAAACTAAAACAACAGAATTTTTATGTGTTTCATTAAATAGGCCACATTTTTCATTAATACAGGGGGTGATTAGTAACACCTATCAATTCAATCACAGGAAGCATATAAAAAATAACTGTGAACTAGGCATCTAAGAGAAAATCAGGGTTTCAGAGGTATTGGTAGCTAATGTTCAAACTTAATGCTCATGAGTGGAAAAATAAACCACAACGTGTCATTCTGGATTAATTTCCTACTACACCTTTGAAACTGGAACTGAGTCCTGCTGGACTGCATGTTTTTTTCAGCTGAGACAGTTACATAATTTATACAATGACTGCCAGTTTGAGATGTTTTATCTCTGATTTTTAAACACTGACAAAATCTGTAAAAGAAATTGTAATAATATAATTACTCTGCTAAAGAAAAGATAATTTAGAAATTAGAACTTTAGATGTAACTTTCCAATCTACTTTCCTACATACTCACTGCAGTTAATGGCACTATAGATGAAGGCTGGTGAGACTGGAAAAGAAATCCCCACCTTCCAGTCTGTGTATTTTAACTTCAAGGGGTCCAAACCTGTTGTTGCTCTGCCTGTTTAACTAGAAGAGATTTTAAATGTGAATATTTTTTTTTTCCATTGAGCTATAGCAGGGATTCATTTATAATATTAATTTACATTTTTGACCATAACCAAGCTGTATACTGGAAGTATACTTTCCACAAGCCCATGGTTTTGTGGAAATGCCAGGGAGGATGATGTTTATGTATTCAAAAAGCAGAACTCAGAAGAAAGAATTTCTTTTAAACAATCGAGATCGTTGTGTTTTACACAAATGCGTAACTAATGTGCTGCAGTTTATCAGTTCATCAGGTTTGTACTCAAGTCATATACAAGTCTTCGCACTGAGTAAATGTGGAAGCTTCTGCTTATATTAACCAACAATTCTAATGTCATACTTTCATAAAGTTTGATCAGGCACGTGCTGCGCTATCGTATGAAATTAGCACTTCACTGAATGAGATAAATGTTAACAGCTCTTGTTTCTCTGAGCCTATCCAGTCTTCAGTCTGCTCCGAAAGATGTGAAGACTCGTTTTCATGTAAGGCATGCAAAATCTTCACAACATTTTTCTCTTCTCTGACCTTTTATTTAGCTACCCTTACCATTTCATATGTTCCCAGTTGAGAAATAGATTTATCACTCTCATCACTCACTGGTTGCGATTTATTGGCTGTGGCAATACACACTCCCTCTGAGAAATATTACAGAGATGTGAGTAGAAGCAATCTTGCAAGGGGTTAATGTGTAATCTTTTTCTAGCCTGTTTATAATCCCAAGAGTAGGCCAGTAAGAGAAGAGGGTGGATCTAAAAAAGTACCGGGATGTGTTTGTGTGTGTGTGTGTCTGTGTGTGCATGTGCATACGTGTGAGCGTGTATGTGCACACACGCTTCTCTTTTCTGAGCTGCCTCGTGTGCCACTGGAATAAATCTTGTTCAGCCTGAACAGGGCTCTGTGTGCCTTGTGTTCCTGACAGGGAGTTAGAAAAGCTTGCTTGCACAACTGCCTCTCTCCTATTTCTCCTGGAGATTTCATTCAGAAATGCATTTGTTTGCTGAAGGAATGGGTAGATAGTTACAAACCCACCCTCTTCTTCATCAAAGCTAACCTGCGGCTACTGAAGAATGGAAATAGCTGATGCTAGCTTCCTTGGGAACAGTACCAATATTACTGCTTTCCTGTGCGATATCATCTTGGAAAATGACACTTTTTTCTGTGTAGATGATCCACCTTATCCTTCTAAAGGTATGTATAGAAAAAAACAGATTTTTTTCAGGCAGTTTTAGTTTTAGCTGGAAGTAGAGATACTATGGAAAGAAACAGCTACCCGAGGCTTTTGCTGTGATGGAGTGCAAAATCAACTGCTTGCTGATAAGTTAGGAGGAGAAACAGGCAGGAAAGAATTTAGTATGTGCTGGTTTTCCAAATTAAAATTTCAACTAGAACAACATTTGGATATAATGGAAAACTAAAACAGTAGCACTATTGTGCACAAAATGTAAACAGCTCTGCTTATTTGGATATAATGGAAAACTAAAACAGTACTATTGTGCACAAAATGTAAACAGCTCTGCTAAGGACTTGGAGAAACATGATTTTTGCTCTTTGAGCAATTGATTAACAATGGATTTATCTGATCTGATACTGTGTATGAAAGTGAGTAAAAATGAAATTAGAGCAATCTGAGGCTGAAAAATATCATCCATGTATTAAAGTATTTTTGATTGCTGTATTGCTTCTTACTTCTGCATTAAAGGAGGAACTCCCATGGTGAGTGAGTAGTGCACACTAAGTAGTGTGAGCAGAAAGTGCTTTTAAGAAGTCGTATTTGGCTCTCCAAATGGACATTGTATTGCATGCACTGTATTTTAATGTTACGCAATTCAAGTAGATCACAATAAGTTTGAGGATTTCAGAACTTCCACTGATTTTATATTGGTGTAAAGACGTAAACACTACTAAAACTGAATACAGAAAGGTTTTTGAAAGGCTATACCTTTTGATTAAAAGAAACATACTAGTCTATGATCTGTATATTGCACAACTGATTTTTACCTTTTGATAATTCTCAGATTTTCATCAGATAATTCGGATTCTGCTGTATTGTTTGATATTTCTGCTCAGCATTCTGGGGAACCTTCTGGTAATTACAGTGCTGATAAGAAACAAGCGGATGAGAACAGTCACCAATACATTTCTGCTGTCACTAGCAGTCAGCGACCTGATGCTCTGCCTTTTCTGCATGCCATTCACCCTCATTCCCAACCTGCTGAAAGATTTTATTTTTGGTAGCGCTGTTTGCAAAACGGCCACTTATTTCATGGGTAAGTCTTGGAATTTTATGCTTATTTTGAAGTTTGACTGATGAGATAGGTGAGAAGTTCATTAAAGATCAGTAAAAAGCTGATTGTTTCCATCTGCCATGGAACAGTTACCCAAATCACAAAGAAATAACTTTGGAGTGCAAATATTTGTGGTTCTAGTTTCCTCAGTATGATCCAGCAAAACACAGAGGCACCACTTAGTGGTAACTAAACACAGAGGAGTTCCACTGGACCAGGTTAAGTGAGAAGTATGTTGCATGACCAAGCTTTGATGAGGAACCCGGCACATGCACTTGCTTACCCACTGCTGACAGAGTTATTAGCAGTGTTCAGGTCACCCATCAGAAATTACAGGGTTGTACAATCCTTATGAAGAGTAGATTTTGCCCACAAATTTTTGGTAGCACTGATATATGAGAGAAAATAGGCCAAAGTAGGTGTCATTTGGGGACCTGAAAGTTAGAGCAAGCAAGCACTTTTTGAGAACAGACCAAGTGTGATCAGAGCTCAGCAGGAGACCACAAAATACGGACATAGGTTTTACAGGCTGACTTCAAGAAACACCACTTTTATATGCCACGCATACCTCCTTTGGTTGTGGAGCCAGGAGTTTCAAAATGCCTGGATTATGTACGTCCGTGTAAGCGATTTTGTCTCACTTCCAAAACTTCTTGTGCATTTGCTTGTTTCTAAAAAAAAAAAAAAAAGAAAAAAAGAAAGAAAAAAAAATTATTAACATTATGTAAAACTTTCTTTACTTTGGGAGACCCTCGGTTAATTACAGAAACCTTAGGTCCCATTTCAACCTTGTGCCCTTGAGAACTTTGATGTAATGTGAAAGTACACACCTAAAGTGTGCGAATGGGAAATCAACATCTTTTTTGTAGATAAAGCCAATAAAACTAAAGGCCATGTTTAAACAATTATAATGAATTACTGCCATAAATACCATAAAAAAATACTGAAGCGTTGACATCTTTCTCTTATTTCACACCATGTAAATTACTTTATAAAAAATTCAGTGAAATCTTTTCAAACATGAAGTTTTTCATTATGAAGGTGTTTTAATTGAAGAGTCAGAATGCAGATATTTCCCATTAGCAGTTCAGGTTAACAGAAACTGATATCCATTGTATCACCTATGCTCTTAATCTTTTATCCTAAAATGTAGGAAGCTGTATTTTAAATTACAGATAATTGGTGTAAAGCCAACTGTAAAGATACTAGCATCTTATATTTTGACCCATATTAGAACATTCACAAAGATTATTTCATGAAAGTTCATTGAATGAAAGAAAAAATTGTGATAAAATTAAGAAGAAATATTTATAATCTTGCAGTGATAAAATGGGGCACCTCTGTGACAGAAATACAGACCACTGCATTATATTTTATAATATATGAACAGAAGAAATTAAGGGCACTTGAAGAACAAAGATTCTGCTTCATGACTTCCTTTCTCCTGCTTTGTAATTCCATTAGCATCTAATTTAAAAAGTGATAACACATTTAATTCTCTTGAATGAGAAAATCAGATAACCAGTCAAGCAGGACACTTAATATAATTAAAACAATAGAAAAGGGACTATGAACTTCTGTGTTAAAAGAGTAATTAACAGCATAATCCCACTGATTTCAAATGCTTATTTGAATTCCAGTGCAATTACTTGAGTGTATAAAGCCCACCAGCAAAAGAAGAATTAGAAGGAAAAATTGTCTTCTTTCCCTGTTATCAGAATTTCATGGTTTGACAGAATGAATCTTTTTGCTGGACTTCTGGAGTTGGAGAAGTGCAGAGCAAGACCAGCAGCCTGAGGACTCAGACCCATTGCCCACACACTCTTCTCTGATTTAATCAGTATGATACTTATAAATATTTTAGCTTATAAATAGTTTGTTATATTTTTAATTTTTATATGCATACAGATAGTTAAAAAAACTATTTGAAAATAACATGAACCTTTCAAACAAGTGAATAACTTTTTTCTTTATTTTATATATATAGGTGTCTCTGTAAGTGTTTCTACATTCAACCTGGTTGCCATATCTTTGGAAAGATACAGTGCAATTTGCAAACCTCTTCAGTCCAGGGTCTGGCAGACAAAATCTCATGCCTTGAAAGTGATTGCTGCTACTTGGTGTGTTTCCTTTATTATCATGTCACCGTACCCAATTTACAGCAAACTGGTACCTTTTACCAAGTATAACAACACCACAGCAAACATGTGTCGGCTCCTTTGGCCAAGCGATGTCATTCAGCAGTCTTGGTAAGACTTAACTGTTAGCAAATGCATAATTATCTGGTGGAAAACAGGATTTCATGGTAACATTAAGCCTGTTGAAAATGAAGTATTAACCTTCAGCAAACATTTACACTTCTTTCATGTTCATTTAAGAAGTAAAAGGAAAAAAAAAAAACCCAATATTGTTAAGCTGCTTACATTTTGACACTTGTATGACTTTTTCCTTGTCAGAGGAATGATACCCAACATGGCAATGATTCACACACTATGGTCTGCTAAGCCCCTACTGTCACTGTAAAGAAAGCATCTGTCACTCTTCAAGCAGGAATACTGCTACCACTCATTTATACTTAAGACTAAATATTTTCAGGGAAATCCTTGATTAATCTTTGAAAAACACAAACATATACAATCACAACCCTGTGTGCTGCCTTGCCTGTTAATTTGTTTTCTGAAAGTCCTCTGAAGCAGAGAATAGAATATGAGAACTTGGAGAGGCTGCAAACGCCTTTCTTGAGAACTGAACCCTTTTGGTCACTCATAGGGAATGGGGCAGAGAGATGAGGGGAGAGACAGAGCTGCAAGCCCTACATCTCCAGACAAAGCAAATAGTAGCACTATCAAGCAGCAGTATTATTTAGACATTTTGTCCTCGCACAACAACTAAACACATTAACTGGCATTGGGAAGATGTAAGGATTTTTTGGCTGCTGAAAGTCAACTGGAAACGGAAACAAGATTAAAGTATGCACCACCTCAGTATGGTGTATCCACAAACAGTGAATTTGTATTAATGCTTTCTGTAGGCTGAGGTATTTGCCAGTATGATTGCAGATAAGGAGGGAGGGTGCAGGGTGAAATTCTCTTCTCCGTGGTGTCATTGCAAATTCCCAGCTGTGTCAGTGAGGTTGCATTAAAGCTCCAGGGAGCAGAAGAGATGTAGGCTCATGAATGCATCTAAACAGAATGGTTTACCCAATTTGTAATCCCATTAGAGAAGCTGCCTAGGAGAATAACAGATCTGCAACCAAGTAAAAGCTGCTTCCTTCAGCACAGTTTGCCAGCCTTCGGATCCCTTCAACCCAGGGATGAAGCCCAGGTCATGGCTGCTCCATCCCTGCCCATGTGCCACAACCCCCTTGGCAAGTCAGACCTCACAGGAGGAGTGACAGCCAGTACCAAGGGCTCCTTTGAGAATCAACAGCTGCTCATTTGGCTTCTGCAAGGCAATTTTAACATCATTCAAAGCTACAGGGTTCTCTGACACTCATCTGTAGTGGAAGCCCCGCTTCATGACAGAGACCTTCTGCCCCTTTTAACCACTAATGGAGTGGGCCTGCAGAGGATGGGAGACGGATGTTTTAGCAGCCTTGTTCCTGCTGTACTTTTCTGGGGGAAGAAGGAGGAGAAGAGGTGGGAATCTTCTATTTCCAGAGCTGTCAAATTGATGCTTCATATTAGTGTGAAAAAAATTTCAGAAAAATCTTGAAATCATGTCCCCTCCAATTCTCACCTGGAGAAAAAGGAGTTTTCCTGGTTTTGTGCTGTTCTCTGGTCTCAGTTTGTCTTTTGATTCTTCAGGTACACTCTCCTGCTACTCATACTCTTTCTTATACCTGGGATTATAATGATGGTTGCGTATGGCCTAATTTCTTTGGAACTCTACAGAGGAATAAAATTTGATGCCAGCCAGAGAAAACCTTCACGAGGTAACAATAATTTAAGTTTGGGGTTTTTTTCAGTTAGAGTTAAAGATACAAGTAGTCAACTTGAGGCTACTAAAAGCAAAATTGTCTATTTGCAAAAATGATCATTCATGGTTGTGAACCTGCCAGATGCATTTATTGATTGAAGTTATTCCATTATTCACTAGCAAATAATTCCTCACCTACAGCTTGTTTGCAAAGAATCTGGACAGGGTACATTAAATTTCTCATTTGCTTGTTATAGAAAGGTCAAGGTTTTTTTCCTGGCCATGGATAGGGACCATTTCTGTCAATAAACACTACAATAAAACTGTAAAATTAAGATAGAAGCATATAATTTTGAAAACTATCTTCAGTGAATACTTGAGCAAACAGTGTTCTTATATCTTTTACATCAATTTTTGTAGAGTTAAGACACGAGAATATTGGGAGATAGCGGATGCAGAGCAGCTGATACACAACTGACTCAGAAGTAGGCCAGTGCTTTTCTTGCAGCAGTTGTTCAGCTATTAATTATGTTATTTATTTAGACTTAGGCTCCATTCTTCATTTTTTATTTTGAAACACTATTCAGAGATATTTTGCCAACTATTTAAGCACTGATTTATACATACAGAAAGAAAAATAAGCACCGGCAGCGCCAAATACGAGGATGGAGATGGATGCTACCTCAACAAAACCAAAAGAAAAAGGAAAATGCCATTGCAACAGCTCTCTGCTACTAGCCACAGCAAAATAGACAGGGTGAGAAGCAGCAGCTCTTCTGCCAACTTAATGGCCAAGAAACTCGTCATCCGCATGTTGATGGTGATAGTGATTTTGTTTTTCCTTTGCTGGACTCCCATCTTCAGTGTCAATGCCTGGCGTGCGTTTGACACCACTTCAGCAGACCAGCGTCTCTCAGGAGCCCCTATCTCCTTTATCCACTTGTTGTCCTACACTTCTGCCTGTGTGAACCCAATCATATACTGCTTTATGAACAAGCGTTTCCGTATGGGTTTCCTGGCCACTTTCACCTGCTGTGCTAAGCAGAAGTCCCCTGCAATACGGGAAGAGGTAGGTGATGAAGAGGAGGGGAAGACCACAGGGGCTTCACTCTCCAAATGTTCTTACACGCACGTGAATGCATCTGCACCCCCCTAAGCTGTGTCAGAAGAGGCTACCAGTGGCCTACAGAAAGTCAAATATTTATCATCTGGTCTTGAAAAGTGACTGTGGCATCAGCTGAATATGATTTAGTTCTGAGGTAATGAAACACTTCAGCTGACAGTAAACACAAGGAAAATTTTATGGGAAATGGATCCTGTCACTGTCTGAGCTTTGTATCACTTGCCCTTCAAAAGTACAAAGGAGGAAGAGGGCTCTTTGAAGATAAGGGACTTTATAAAAAGCCTTAGAAGATGCTCTATTTGCCATAAATTCTCCTGTAAAAGCTGGTGTCCTTTACACTAACAATTTAGCTCAGTTTTCAGCTACAGTTCTCAGTATCTATTAAAATTTCCAAGATGCTAATAGATTTTCCTCAAACATGAATACATGTATTGCAGTCTTCATGTCAATACCTACGCTGTATAATCAAAATCTTTCAGTTACACTCATAGTACTTTTTCACATTATTCTTGCTGAGCTAAAACATGTTGAGATCATTTTGGTGTCATGGTCAATTAAAAGAAGAATTGTGCAGTAGGGATAATGGGTTTTCCCATGTGAAAATAATACTTTTAAGTAAAATAATTTCCTTTTTCTAAAAAAAAAAAATATTGATTACTGATTGTGGATGGAATACATTCTTCATTTAGGCAATAACCTAAGTTAACATGATTTCCTGTATTTTTGGTTTAAATAAAACCCATAGAAAAAGCACAAAGAAGTGGCTTTCTCCTGTGCAGCTGCAAGCACCCAGGTGTGCAAGTGGCAGGGTTCTAGATAAGCCCCAAAGGCTCACGTAGAAATTGTCACACTGGGAATCACAGGGATAAACACTTGGGCTACATGCAAAGAGGTGATTTTACAGAAGACACAAGATGTAGGATGGTGCCTAATGATGTTGTAATACATTTGACAAACAGATTCACAGTCACTCCTGGCGTGGTACTGCCCACATGGAAAGAGAAGCCATTGGATGTAAAAAGGCAGAAAGAGCACACACAACAAGCAAAGGGTGGGAGACCTTGTCAGAAAACATAGTTCTTCTAAACTTTGGAATAACTACTTTTTTTCTCCAACTACACATATTTGTAAACAGACTCAGCATAGGGAAAAAACCCAATAACTTTGAATTATGTAATTATTGCTGGTTTATTGAGCAAGGAATTCAGGCTCTTTCCCGTGCAGTTCTCAGGTGAGCGTGAGCATTCAGGTCATGCCTTTTGCTTTGTGGAGCTCAACAGAAGAAGTTGTTTATTTCATTTTGTGAAAATATCCTGTTGAAGATGCTCCTATTTTCTAGCTGAGTCAATATAATTTAAAAAGCTTGTTATTAGACAGAGATTAAATTTGAAAACAACATGGGAATGTAGATGTGGATATTAAATATAACCCTTCTCAAGGTTTTTAATCAGGAAAATCTGATCTCTTTACAAAATGATTTTAAATTGGAAATATAGTTTGTGTTCCAGGCACTCAGATCTATGTTCTGCACTCAATTATTGCCTGAAATGATTTCCCCATACAACTTAGCACATAACTTTGGCCATTATTTTTTTTGCATCCAGCTTGTCCACAGACAGGAAATTAAAAAAAAAAAATTAAACACTGTTTATGCACAATCCATAGAAACAATGTTTTGCCTGACACGTTAATAAAGGAGCACTCTTCCTGGAACAGTGTTGAGACTACTGACATCGATCTGACCTTTTACAAATACCTATTAAATTAAATTATGGGATTTAATTGATAAAAATGAAATGAAAACTTTACTTCACTGAGGGATGCAGGAGGAGAACCTCCACAAACCTGTCCTGTGTGTTGAAACCTAAGGAACAAACTTAGCTGTTTTGGATTTATGTAGAACAGTGAGAGCAGAAAAAATATTTATGAAATGTTTTGTACTATTTGAAAGCCTGGCTTTATTATAGGACATGGTCTAAAAATTGTTGATTAAGTAAAAAAAAATATCATATTTTAATAGTAAACTAGATGTAAATGTTGCTGGCTACATGCTCTATAGCAAGACAGCCTGCTTCACAGCTCTGTGTGCACTTTAAAAGACAATATCCTCTTTGTAGATGTAGATTCTCTGGTACCTTTAGAGCCTGTGTAGCAGTACATGCGCTGTTCACCTGCTCCCACTGATTTAGTCTGAGGATAGCGGTTTCAGATGAAAAGCAAAAGCCATTTTCTGCAATGCCCTAATCAGATCACAGCCCCCTGTGGCCTCCAGTACCTGTGGCTGAAAAGAACAGAGTCTGATTGATTCCCCACTCATAACTATCAGGAAGCACAATTTGGAGGTGATGAAGTGAGGGAGGCAGGAGAAGAAGATCGTGATGGGGTGATGGTTGGGTGACAATCAAGGAAGGGTTAGAAATGTGCCAGAATGGACACGTTTCCATTTGTCCAGGGCTTGTTCTGTGCATGTATCATTCTTCCCCTCCATTGCCCCCTACACACCTTTTTTCTTTTTAAACAAACGCATTAGCTCTTTGATCAAGCTCCCCAAAGTCAAAGCCTTAAGCCAAATTCCAGCAAGGAACAGGAATTAAGTTTTTTTAAATGCAATATTGAAATCCAGTCATTTTGTTGCCTTCTGCCCTGGTCTCCTAGCAGAGGAAAGTTCAGCCTTTCTGCAACCCACATGCATCTTAATGCCATTTTCCCTGATCTGTGCATTGCAGAAGTCATTCCTGGCTCTGAATGTTGTCCTTTCTTTGCTAAAGAGTCGTGGAATCCTCACAGCACCTTTAATTCAGATACTGTCATTAGTGGCAACGTACTTTCAACAATAAATGTGGGTGGAATAAACATATCAAAATAAAAGAGCTCATGAAGTGTCCTTATTTTAACATTAGTTTATAGGGGTTGGGGGGAGAAATCCTGGCTTAAAAGTCTACTCCTACAATAGGCAGTACCTAAAGGCAAACTGTTTCCCAAATGTAGGAGACAAATGGCAAAACAATAAATTTCAGGTGTATAATGCCCATAAATCTCTTAAGTCCTTTTCTTCTTCCTCTTTTTCCCGACTCCTGTTTTTTTTTTTCTCTCTTTGTCTTTCTCTTATCTCTATCAGCTGCATGTCACCATCTTTTTTTCTTCTGTACCCTTCCCAGTCTCTAGATTATTTTCCCCTCACCACCAATTGCTAGATTTTTTTTCCCTCTTTGACAGGTTTATTTTCCTTCCCAGATTTACTTTCCCAGAAAGCACTCTCATCTTCATTCCCTCTGTCATCTCAGCTTGACAGACTCCTGAAACACCTTGCTCCAAGCAGTATAACCTGCCCACAATGCAACAGTTCTGCAATCACCTCTGAACAATCCTATGTCTGAGTTTGCACATCGTCCCTCTTGAATGCTGGCTCCTGGCATGCTCAAACAAGCAGTATATACTAGTCCATAAAACAAAACCATAGTGCTAAATAACATCCAATTCCTCCTTTGCTGCTTCTGTCGTTATTAATTGCAGTCTCTGTTGTCAGGCTGCACTTTAAGACAGATGCCTAAAATACTGCTAAATACAGCACTTGGTGTGGGGTCAAATTAAGGACGTATTTCACTCTTCCCAGGGCAAAATACAGGTGCTCTGCATGAAAAACAGCATGTGGATTTGGAACTGCAGCCACTAGAGGTTTACAACCCCTTACATGAGTCATGGCCTCTTTTCTGATGCAGACAAACCCTTCTTGGGAAGGTGATGAGGCTGCCCAAGGTCCTGCCTGCTCCTCAATCCCCTCCTGCTACTCCGGCCTCTGAGCTTGGGGATGGTGCAACCCACAGAATCACAGAATGTTGGGGGTTGGAAGAGATCTCTGGAGATCATCTAGTCCAGTCCCCTGCCAAAGCAGGTTCACTTAGAGCTGCACAGGACTGCATCCAGGTGGGTTTTGAATGTCTCCAGAGAAGGAGACTCCACAACTTCTCTGGGCAGCCTGTTCCAGTGCTCTGGCACCCTCACTGTAAAGAAGTTTTTCTCATGTTTAAGCAGAACCTCCTGTGTTCCAGCTTGTGCCCGTTGCCCCTTGTCCTATCCACCACTGAAAAGAGTCTGGCCCCATCCTCTTGACACTCGCCCTTTAGATATTTATAAACATTAATAAGGTCCCCTCTCAGTCTTTGCTTCTCCAGGCTAAAAAGACCCAGCTCTCCCAGTCTAGCCTCATAAGAAAGATGCTCCAGCCCCTTAATCATCTTTGTGGCCCTCTGCTGGACTCTCTCCAGAAGTAACCTGTCTCTCTTGAACTGAGAGGCCCAGAACTGAACACAATATTCCAGATGCAGCCTCACCAGGGCAGAGTAGAGGGGAGGAGAACCTCCCTCGACCTACTGGCCACACTCTTCTTGCTGCACCCCAGGATACCATTGGCCTTCTTGGGCACGAAGGCACATTACTGGCTCATGGTTAACTTCCTGTCCACCAAGACTCCCAGGTCCTTCTCCTCAGCACTGCTTTCCAGCAGGTCAACCCCCAACCTGTACTGGTGCCTGGGGTTCTTCCTCCCCAGGTGCAGGACCCTACACTTGCACTTACTGAACTTCATCAGGTTCCACGTTCATGTGTGGTGGCTCGTCACAGTGCTTCGCTGGCTTGGAATAGGTTATTTCAGGACTGGACTATACTGGAATAAGAGAATACAATACAGAAATATTGCAGCCAAGGCATAGCAAATACACACTCACACAGTTTCCAACAGGATGTAGCAGGATTTCTTTTAAAAGCAGGCACGTGCTCAGACCACACGCACAACCATCCTAGGGCAGAAGGCTGATGGGAGGACAGCTGCCTTTCACAGGACCTCACAGATAGAGGCTGCCAGGAAAATCTGGGTGAACAACCATGTGGTGCAGGGTGTGACACTGTAGCATTTCTGAATTAAAGCGAATCTACAGTCAGATATACTTGCAGTATGCACAGACCACAACGTGGTAGCCATTTACTGACTGAGTCAAACCATCTTGTAATCTTACAATTGTGATGGTGAATTCAGT